TTTTGAGGGGGGCCTGTCATTATCTTACTCTGTCATTAGAGGCTACATTGGCCTGTGTATGTCAGTCTATTTGGACAGCAACTCTTTTGCTAGCAGTCTTCCCTACATTTATTAAAATCCCCAAAGGTAGTGTTGTGTTCCATTTCTGGTATAAAAGCCCTGAACCTTTTGCGCAGAAACAGAAATAGTGTGATATAACCGTGACTTAATATTTCCCGAGAATGGTCAATTATAGCTATTTAAATAAACACTAGCTGGATTTTCTTAGGAAAAGTATGGAAACTGGAAGCCTAATTCTCGTTTCATTTATGGGAAAAAGAAGTCTCCTGCAGGAGTTTTTTTTTTCTTTTTACTGCGCATGTTTTTATTTTCCCCAAGTGCTGTTTATTTCTAATATGATCATAGACGTCTTTTGAATACTGCCTTTTTTTACAATCATATGTCATATACCAGGGAGTAACATCTCATAAAACTAAGCTTTTTTAATCATTAAAGAAACTCTTGGTAACTTAATACTATTTTCCATGGACCCAAATTTCATACTGGCAGAAATGAAGAAATCTCGAGCACACCTACCTCTAACCATGAGATTCAGGCTTTCTGAAATATTTTTTCTATTAAAATTAGGATCAGTGACCTTTTTCGCATAGTATACTCGCATGTGATCCACAACTGGGGTTGGTTTGAGTTTTTTAATCTTTCTAAATTCTTCCCCATCTCCATACCTTATAATTGTAGAATTCTGACTATTAGGCTTACACAGTGCAATCTATCATTTTTAAAGTATATTTTTGGCCTAGATTTTTACTTGGGTCAACTGACGTAGCTTTGCTCATTTTATTAAACTAAATCAGTTTGCAACAGATTTAACATCTGATTTCTTTGTATGTCGTTAATTTTTTTTGTTTTATCTGTGAGGATAATAATGATGCCGTAAGTTAAAAAAAGTGCAGATTCTTGGCACAGGTACTTTCCATGATAATCTAAATGAAACAGTTTTATATTACTGTAGTTTGTGTATCTTATATGCTGGGCTTTACAAATAGTGTCTGGCTAAATATTACTGGTCTTTCTGAAGACGTATTTTTGGTTTTTGCTTACCCTCATAAAATAAAATAAAACTTGAAGTTTCTGTGAATGTGAAGATTCCCAGAAAGATGGGCATTGATGATTATCTTTGTAAGATTTTTTTGTATTATTTAAAACTGAACTGTGCTGTGCCTGATAATTGCTCAGTTCCAAAATAGCTGAGGAGGAAATACTGGTTTTCAGTGTTGCTGACTGATCTTTTAGCTTATTTTTAATGAGCACAAATAGGACATTTCACAGGTGGGCAGAATAAAAATCAAAGTAAATATTGTGCAACAAATTGTTTATAATTATGCACAGGTTCTATGAAATGATTAAACAATATTCTAGTTATTAAGTGTAAACACTTTGCACTATGTACAAATTATTTGAAGAAAAAAATCCATTTATGCACAATTAAGATGGTAGAATTTTGTAGATTAAATACAAATTTTATTGGCTTGAATTATGTAGCCTTTAAAATGTATTTCAGTGTCAAAACAATAGCATTATCCACTACTGAATCCTCACCATATTGCAATTTTCAGCTTGACATTACCAGGTTAATGTTTCTTACAACTTGGTTCTTTCACTGACTTTTAAGGAATTACTGTGTTAGAGTTGCTGTGGTTTAGCTTATTAACGTCAGAAATACATAATCGCAGTTGATGGGCTGCAGTAAATACTATTATTTTTAAGCTCTCCTGTGTTTTAAATCTGTATTTGCTTTTCCAGGATGATGATGTTTAATGCTGAGAGTTTGTGTGTTGTACTTGCTAGCACTAAAAATTAATTAGTTCAGTTTAAATGTGGACTAGCTAAATTAAAACCTGCCTAATTGGTATTACATTTGAAAATAAAAAAAAATAAAATAAAACAAAGTCTTAGTAGCAGTCAGGCCTGGCAGAGGGAAGTGTAGCGCAGGGGATTGCAGCTGCTTTCTGCTGGAGCGAGGGTGACAGCGTTGGGTCTTTGCTGGCACTCACCTTTCTTTGAAACACCCCTGGCTCCTAATTGCCTGCATTTTCTTCACATCTCAGCCTGAACACAAACTTGGCCTTGGGATAAACAGTTTATAGCCAATTTATTTTTTTTTTAGTTTGGAAGTGACGAAAAAGAATGTGCGTCTTTCACAAATGGCTCACCAGTGGCAAAAGTTCGGTGCTTCGAGCTTGTGAGTTACTAATCCTAGGAGGATAGTTGCTCACTGTTTGGGCAAGAAAAAATGTTTTAGAAGATGACAGTGGTGCACCCTTGTAACTTCTCTGTCTGTGGGGAAATTTGGCTTGGTCATATAATTATCTGCCTGCCTGCCCTACTGCAGAGCTGCAAACCCCATTTTAATGGTGCGTTGCTCTCAGAGCTCCATAGTGCATAGCCAGGGTTTCCTGTGCCTGGCAGAGAATTTCTGGAGAGCAGAGGTTTAAAAACTGTGAAATGTCAAAAAAACCCACAAAACCAGTACATAATTAATTCAACAGGGTGCTACGTTTTCAACTCGTGCAACTTTGTGCAGCCAGAACAGTACATTTATTCTCTTTCAAAATTCATCTCTGGAAACCAAAAGTAAAATTGTTAATGCCACGGTATAGTTTAGAAATGAGATTAAGACATGCAATGGCTGGTGGTGGATTTGGCCTGTGCTTTCCGTGGGACTCCCTCTGGGTGTTGGTAGCAGGGTGCACTCTCACCTAGCTGTGCACGGCATCACCTCCATACCCCAGCTGAGGATGCCAGCCGACGACGGGTCTCCCAGCACCCACAGCCAGCACCAGGGCTCGACACCCTACCCCAGTGGGGTGCAGACAGGTCCCTGGCCCCAGGGGCAGGTAGCTGGGGTGGGTGGGCAACCCACCAACAGCCCCCAAGGCCTCCCTCAGCTCACACACAGCTCCCATCTGTCTTCTCACGTACAGCCCATGTCCTGTGGCGGAGCAGTGTCAGCACATGGTGCGCTGCTGGGCAGAGATGCACAACTTTCACTTTTCTTGAATTTTTAATTGCCAACCCGTATGCGCTTTGCAGTCTTTTTTTTCCTTTCTTTTTTTTCTCTGCAATGTTTCACTTTTCCAGTCTTATTCTCGCAAAGACAGCTTACTCTTGGTCTATCTGTTGCAATATATAGCTCGTTCCTAGAAAGAATGGATTTAATTAAGGAGACGATCTCTTTCTGGATGCAAAACGAGAAAATGTCTTTACATTTCTGCATGTTTAGGTGTATTACAATGGCTACCATGGTGACACTTCTGAAACGTTTTTGGTGGGCAATGTGGATAAATCTGGTCAAAAGTTAGTGGAGGTTGCCAGGAAATGTAGAGATGAAGCAATTGCAGCTTGCAGACCAGGGGCTCCCTTCTCTGTAATTGGAAACACAATCAGGTAAGCCTTATATTGACAAGTAAAGGGAGGGCTGGCAAGTGGGACAAAGGTTATTGGTGGTTTGGTATAAAGCTGATGACATGTTTTATGATTCAAAACCATCATTTCAGTCTGATATCAGTATGTGAACTGCCAAGCTATAATGTTGTTCCTTGGGTAAGAGATTTTTTTTTTTCAAGTGAATTACACCAGAGCGAACAAAGATAACTGTAGAAAGAGTCAAAGATATTCGTAAGGTATATTTAAATTAACAGATGTAATTTGTGGTGGGGTTTTGCTTAATTTTTGTTTGTGTTTTTAACTACATCACATCTGTCTAATGCTGTAAGAAGGTTACAAACTATTGTTTTTGTTGTATAGTAATAATAAATGTTACAAAGGAATCAGTCAACATAAATAAGTCTCTCTGTTTAAAAAGTGCAAAAATATTTCACTCAAGAGCTTCTGATCTTACAAAGAGAAGCACATGCTAACGTCATAAGGAAAAAAAGAGCTCACATTTCCCTGTTTTGCATCTCTTCTATCCTTCACATAAATGCAGTCATGACTCTTCTGCAGGCAGTTTTGAAAAAAAATACAGCTTAGTTTTTTGAAGGTACCTATGGATTATTTTTAAATTTTTGCCAAAAAGAAAAAAAAGATATGTGTATCATGTACATTTCATTAAGCAATACTCCTCTGGACTATTAATGGTCCCAATGCTATTGAATACATTCTGATTACTTAAAAGCTGCGAGGCTTAGTCACCTTGAAAGGATGCTGCTTTTTTTTCTTTGTAAATCTTCAGATACTTAAAGGAAAAAAGAAAACGGCAAAATATCAGTTAGATGTATTTATAGCTTTAAAAATATTGTAACAGAGTCTGAATCAAACTTTAGTAAAACCTCTTTGGGTTATATCTGAGAAGCTTTTATTGAAGACTTTGTATAAAATTGTGTTTTTGACAGTTTTAAATTATAGGCTAACTAGCCTGGAGAAAAAGGATAGTGTCTTTCTGTTCTTTCATAGGAAATGTTGAATCAGACCCCTACTGGGAAAAGAAATTTAATGCATATCTCACTATCTTACTGTCCATGAATATAATAGAAGTGAATTCAAAATGTAGTTTTATTTTTGCAAATGGGATGAGTCGATAGATGCACCTCATATTTTTGAACACCTAGGGTTCAACAAATTTACTGGTGGTGCTCTTGCATTTTAACAAAATTTATTCTTGAGTAGAAGGGGGCACAGAACACTGGATTCTTATTCAAGCATTCTATCGAGCTCTGCATTCATGGCTGTGTCTAAAGGGCATGTCAGCCTTTGATTCTCTCTGAGAGGTAATTATCCTTTTCCTGTCACGGAACAACAAATGATAGCTAACTACAGAGGCACATTTGCAGTAGTCACATTCATCAACTGCAGAAAAAAAATTCAATTTAATTGTGCAACACAGCTGCACATAGGCTTTTTGAGCATTTCTGTTGTTCTCCCTGTCTTGCTATTCCTCCCTCCAGATCTATTTTTTAAACTTTTTTTTCTGGTTATTTTTTTCCCCCTTTTTGTCTCTTCTTCCATTTTTACTCTCTGTACTTTCTTGTTAAAGTAATTTTCCTTTGTGGCTCTCATTCTTTTTTCCCCATTGAAGGCTATGAATGTAGAAAATTATCACAATTACTCATATAATTGAGCCTCTTTGTAGCAAGTGCAACTCCAGTAGCCTTTCTCCATCATGAAAATGGTTTCATTATAGGGTTTTTCATATTCTCTGACACCATCTACACAGAGGAACAGGCGTGCAGATGAGATGTACTAGGAACAGGGTAGATCAGTAAGGTCACAGTAGGAATAATTAGCTCTGCTATGGAAAGAGCATCTAGGCCTTTTACTGCTACATAAATGTACTGTCCGTGGCTTTTAGTCACAAAAAAACTTACTAACAAATGGAGCTCCCGCCTACTACTTTGAAAAAAAGATTTGTATCAACACTACAATTTTCCATCATTAAGACTAATAACACAGAGCCTAGTATACATCAAGGGGAATAAAAAGAAAAATCTCACATTCAAGTGGCGGCTGGGTGCTGACCTTTGTTCCCTTTTTTTGTGTTCAACTTAACTCTTTACAAAAAAGAGCCACACGCCACACCAACATGCAGGTGAACTCCAGCTAGTGCTAGCAAAGCATGGCATTCAGTTGGAAAATCTGATAAATCTCCATGCAGGATAATGCATTTCATTACAGATTCACTACATTAATTCTAGCTGTATTAAAAAAAAAAAAGAAAAAGAAAAAAAGAAAAAGAAAAAAAAGGAAGAGAAGACGAAAAAGAACAAAATTGAATGTGACATTGGATTTTTACTGTGTTGGTGCGGAGGTCAGTTTACTTGCTAAGTGTAAATATATAGTCAGCGCCCCCTTTGAAAAGCAGATTAATCAAAGCTACTAACTGTTCAAAACTACATATGAAATAGCAGGTCATTAACTTCAGTTCTCAAGATTTTATTGTGTCGACAATTTAAATGTGCTGATTTGTTTAGAACTACTTCAACACTGCTGAAAGATCGCCTTGGTTTGGTGAAGCTGTGTGTTTATGGTTATTCGTCATTTGACGTTTGCATGCAGATAAACATATATAATACATACATCCATCCATCAAAATCTGAAGTTTCGGAAGAGTTAGTTAGATATCATAAAGTACCTGAGAATAAGCACCTACAAGGTGAAAACATTTAGGCCCGTCAGAATGGAAATGTGCCTAGGTTTCTTTCACTGGTATTTCTGTAAAGGTGCTCAAGTGATATTCAGAACGTACCTTACGCATAAATGATCAGAATATTTACTTTCTACGATAGCTTTGGGAATACTTATTTTACAGAGGTAAGTTTGCATTCAATATTCTAACATAGTCTTTGTTATGGAGGCTCTGTAGCCAACATTATTTCATGGATTGCAGATCTTTCTCCCATTGGCTACAAGTTACAAATAAAAGATTACATGGATTTGTAAGTTACTTTGCTTCAAAAAATTTGAATCTTTGCTAACCTGTTCTTATTGAAGGTGGTAGCTGAGTTTTGTCAGTCAGCTCCAGTGGAAGCAGAATTGGGCCCTATGTTTCATTTTCTTCTACCATTTCTGACACGTCTCCTTCAGAAAGAATCAAACCCAATTTGAAATCTATTTTTTAGACAGTGAGTTTAGGGACATGCAAGTGTTGCATGTGTAGAGAGCTAAAAAATATAAACATGATATTGTTAAATAAACCAATTTCCAACTCTGAGGAAAAAATAGTAGTGATGAAAGTATTAATACATTGTTTAAAATGTTTAACTTGTAAGAATATGTTTTGATACTAATTTAGAACAATATAAAGCAGATTTTTAAAAAAATCTGTTTCTATCAGATTATGCACATTTAAACAATAAGTGGCTCAGGCAAAATAAGTCATTTTAACGTCATCTGTGATAGATTTTCCTTGACAGCTACTGTAAATTACAATTACACTGCTTCTCTCTGCACTTGAAAGTAAGCATTGCAATAAATTATCTTTTATTTCAATCCATCATGTCTGCTTTCAGAAACAGAGAACCTCAAATAAAAGTTCAGGACTATTGTAAGAAAAATACAGTAATTTGTGTTCCAGTTTGAAACTAAAATGTACCTTTCTTTCAAAAAACAATTGTTGGCTCTCAAAAATACTACTAATTATACCTCAACATTTATTGTCATTATAGGGAATCCCTGAACTTGTGCATTCCCTCAGTCTAGGATTACTATTTAAGAGAGAATTACTTTAGAATTTTCCCAGTATAATTTTTTAATTTCCAAAAATAGATAATGCAGTACTATGTAAAATAGATATTTTTATCGTGAGCAAGTCTAGTTTAGGCTGATGCTGTTTTCAAGAATTAAAAATTTTTTAAAATGCCATTTTCAGTAGTCATTTTGCTAACAACGTATCTAAGAAAAACTTGATCGTTCTGATTTTTTAAAAAGAATAAATATTACTAGTTTGGATCCCTAGGTAAGAAAACTATTATCTTAGGTCTGTTATCTCTTTCAGTGTTTCCCAAGCTTGTTCACTGCCCAGAAGTGTAAGACAGATTTGTTTAGCAACTTCAGCCATTTGTGTCATGCTGCTCTGCAAGACTATTGTTGATAAAGTTTCATCCCTGGGGAGGGAAGCTGGCACTGCAGGGAAAAGCGTCCTTAGCTGGGAATCAGTGCACCAGGACGTTCAGCCTGGGTAGCAAAGCAGTTTATGCCATCCTGTCTAATCAGCTAAATTCTTCCCGTTGTGCCACCAGAGAGTCCAGAAAGCACTTGTTATCAGTGCTGAAAATGAGATTTGTTGCACTTTGTTTCTTTGGTGAGGGCTTAGAGTGCTGGACCAGACCTGCCTTGAGGAAAAAGTGACCAAATCCAGTAACAAGAAAACAAAACATATGTTTCGGGAGTCGTTTTTCCTCCAAAAAATAGGAGTTCCAGACCCATCCTCTGAAGCTGGAATGCCTGTTATCCTGTAGGTGTTCCTAGAGGCTCTCCACACAGCACCAGCCCCCTAAGGCGATTCAACGTGCTTTTCAGCTTCTTAGCGGGAGGGATTTATCACCCGAGAACTTATTTCAGGGAAGGCTCCAGAGTATGGGGGAGAGCTTTGCAGAGAGTCCTGCCTGTTGCTGCTTTGTGGCAATTTCCCTGTTGGGCTGCTGGCAGGACAGCAATGCATGTCCCCACACTCATCCCTCCTTTTGGAGAATTAGCTGTTGTCTAGCAACATGGGAGGCGGATACACCCAACTCTCCTGTCTGTGTCCACTCTTAGAAGCGTGAGGCTCTACGTATGGTTTTTGGTGCCCAGCCCGGCCCTCAGTGATATCCCTTTATCAGCTTTCCCACTGCCTGTCCATCCCAATGCCATCAGCAAAGAGAGCACTACAGGTACTCTTGACTCTGCAGCCACTGGACTGGAACACATGGCAGCAAAACATAAGATCAACTACCAGGCTCATTAAATGGTCATGCTTTTAATACTACCCAGTTCACCTCTGCCCAAGCATGCAACACGGCTCAAAGAATAACATATGTGAGGATGAATGTTGTCAATGGATATTTTTAACAATGACTGTTCTGAAGAATGTGGGGCAGTTTTGTGGGGTTTTTTTTCTTGCTGTTGGTATATTGTGGCTCACCTGCCCCAGCCTTTGCTTGGGAAGTGATTCAGCTGGCATGCGCCCTGCAGCCAAGAACTGGCAGACGGGTGCATCCATCCAGTAGTGCAGCTCTCCTTTCCCATGGCAGATGTGAGGCAGCCCAGCTCAGCCATGCCGACTCCTACCTCCTGCCTTCACTGCTTGCCCGCTTGCAATTGGGACTCCTCTGGCGCCTGATCTTATGTTGCCTGTCTGTGAGGAGCAGCGCATGGAGCTGGGGCTGGGCATTGTAAGGTTGCCTTCCAGGGAAAGCTGGAAAGAAAGGCCACTGCTGACAGACTCTGAGCTGGGCAACGAGGCAGCGAGACCAAAATGTTGAGTTGTTGTCAGCAGCAAATGCCAAACTTGCCCAAAACTGCTCCACTCCATGGCATCCTGATTTTTAAATCAGATTCCACAACCTGGGAATCCTGGAGGCCACAGAAGCTGACCAAGATAAACAGTTCAGTTCACTCTTCTCAGAACTGTTTCAAAGTCCTCCCTGCCAGCATTTACAGCCAACATGTACATTTACAGGAATACCTTTGCAAGCTGTAGCTGAGGTTAACAGCTTTGTTTATGAAAGCTGGGTGTTTTACTATAACCCCACAAAGATGTAAGAACTCACTAGGATTTTTTAAATACTCTGAAGTAAAGCTAGTAGTTAGGCAGTGAAATTCTCCAGAAGTTGCTTCTGCAGCACATGCATATAATGAAACCAGACTGAATGTGCCTCAGTTTCATACCTGCAGCTTATTTTCTCCACGGGTTTTCTGTGTGTCACTTCAGGTTCATTGACCATGTTGCATTTTACATAAAGAATACCCAAGCTCTGTATGTAGACATTATTAAGGGGGAAGGAGGAGGGGCACAGGCGTCTGTCAGTGCAGATGTCAAATCCTTGTGAGCTCCAGGATCGCCTATTTTGATCACACACAGTAACTGCTGAAGTACTGATGCCAACAGAGCTGTTTTCAAGCTGTTTGGCAAGAAAGTGGCAGAATTCACTATTGACATGCACGAGAACCACTTCTTTAACTGCATAAGGATGGGACACTGTCTTAGCACTGCCTTCTGTGTTCCCTGGTGTTCCTGTGCCCGGTGCTCAGCACCCAGCTGCTGCTGCCACCCTTCCCAGCAGCAGCTGAGTGCTGGGGCGAGAGCTTCCCATGCCCGCAGGAGGGTGTGTAGCCATGGTGCTTGGAAGAACAGCTGAACGGAAAAAAAGCTTTCTGTCTTACTACACAAAATGGATTTTTCAGAGGGAAAAAAATCTGTAATAATACAAAACATCTCAAAAAATGACGGTGCTCTTTCAGTGGTCAGGGATGCTATGTAAGGACATCAGTGAAGCTGAATACTCTATGGGATTGTTTATGCTTGTGCAAAAAGATTTGCAGAAGAAGGTGAAAGAAAAGATTATCACATGTTGCATGGATGGCTTCTCCTGTTTCTCTTCAAAGAATTGCTTCACCCATATGGGAATCATTATCTGCATTGCTCTGTGCTTGGTCACTGGAGATCTTCCATTTCATTTTGTGTATGTTTCTGAGTAATCTGGCTTTGTAACTCCTTGCCATTCCCTGTGCTTCTTCCTTAGTCTTCATCATCATCATAGCCAGTGGTCTAAGTCTCTCACCCAGACATGGGTGATGTGGTAGAAAGGCAGGGGATAGTGTTTTTTCCGTCTCTAGTAGAAGTTTTCACTGTGTAAACCTTCATGATTTTTTCCACATGAATGATGTATAAGGTAAAAGCCTGGACTTTGAATATAACCAAATGAAGACCAACTTCTAGCCTTATTGGTAACCCTCTTTGCCAGTACTTAGGAGTTTGGGGGCAGCTAAACTTGAAATTTCTCTTCTTCTCCAGAGTTAATGGAAGAAATGTGATGAGTCTTTGTATCAGGGCAGTGGGTAGGTAAAAGTTAATACATGAATCCTGTTAAAACACACTCTCAAGTTCTGAATGCTGCAGCATTATTAACCATTGACCCAGCTCTTCTCTCATTGCTGTTTCGCTGTGGTGGAGCACCATGTCCCTCAATTGCAGTGGCATTAAATTCTGGGATGGTGACCCACAGACACTGAAGCCAGCACTGCAGGGTCTGTGAAACCTGGCGTGCAAAGGGATTACTGTGTACAGCAAGCTGAGGCCACTTTGCAGCTGAATAAGAGCTTCCCTGTGAGGTTTAACCCGCTTTAATTTCTGAGACCTTAGACCCTTATTTGAGTTTCTTAACTTTTCTGCTTTTCCACCTATAGTCAAACGCAGACAAAGCATTTATTAGGGTGCAGGTATAGGCAAACCTGAAGTTTTTAAGTGCCTACCTTGATTTTAAACAACCAAGTTTAGGTTAAATCTTTTCAGGCCAAGTGCCTTCCTCTCTTGCTCCTGTTTGATTTTAGAAATATGTGGGGATGATATGTGAGGACAGGGGCAGCTTTCTTGTCACTTCTAATGAACCTCCGGATCCCCCCAAATCTGCACATTTCCGTTTCGGATGTGAGCAGCGCTCCGGGCTGAGCTGCCTCAAGTCAGCCCCTCCACTGCTGCCTCCACTAGTGCTTGAGTAAGCCTGCAGACAAGGGCCCCCCCCACATATTGCCAGCGCTTCCAGCTTCTAGGTGTTGGGATAGGAATTTGCTTTCCCAACATGGGGTCAGCATGCAGCCACGTTCCTGCAGACAGCTCTCAGAGACACTCCTCCCTGAGGCAGGCCGTGAAGAACAGGACAGGTGTCCCAGGCAGAGCTGAAACACCACAATTACTGTGATTTGTTTTTTCTACAGTGGTGATGGGTTCATTAAAAATACGTTATTAATTAGTGCAAACAGATTTGCTGGAGTTTCAATACATTTTGGTTTGAATGTTTGCAGTATTCTGAAAGGGAAGAGGTAGGGCGCTTAACTCTCCTGTGGTGAAATGAGTTCCCAGTGTGCCCGTGGAAAAGGTTATCCTGCAACAGAGGGACAACATGC